ATTTTTTCGACCTTGTATTGCTTTGCGCATGCAGTCCGTCTGTTAGCAAGTACAAGTGTAATTAGGTAATACTACTGTAAACCGAGCTCGTATAGTTGTCGTTCATTGTGTCTTGCTTTTACAAGAAGCTCTAAACGGTATACGCTGATGGGGATCCTTCATATAATACCTACCTAGTAAAAGCTTTAAGATCATTCTTTAATTACTTCAAACAAACAAACGTTTCAAAACATCCTTTCCCGTTTGTAAGTAATTAAGGAATATTTGATACTTAATAGTAATAATACTTGAACAATATAGTCGATTCCATTGAAGAAGCACTTATGGTTTTCAAGGGCGTTCCATATTTTGGCTTTGTTAAGGGTGTCTTCCAATGCGGGCAGCAGCTGAACGAAAACTTCATTTTTAATATACTCTGTTTCCGTCTCTGAAAAATTAAAAATAAGGTATTTAAAATAACTTTTGTAACCATAGTGAAATATTCTCAGTATAGAGTCCTAAAAAGACCGACTACGTGGAATTACATATTACCAAGTTTTATTAAAATCGGTTACCGGAAAATGCGCAAACCCGGATTCATCCCCTAGTTCGCCACTATACGGGATTCGACACAGGAGATAATAAAAATCGGTTCTTACTACTCAAAGTATATTGAGAGAGAAAAACGCCTTGAATTGGAGAATAGCAAAATCAACGTGGTTTGCATTAATATCAAACGTAACTGGTTGATGACTTTACCACCTCAGGCAACCGTGACCATGGGGCCTGTAAAGGGCGCGAAACGTTGGTTACTTTGAAAATCCAAATATACGCGATTTAAATCCGGAAAAATAGTTTCATTTTGTATGTGTCAGAATCGCGAAAACCTAGGAACTGAAATAGGGCTAGTCAATCTATAGATAATTTTGTACTTATGCAAGTATTGAAACGAATGAAAAGAATCTATGGTATATTCCACAAACAACTATAATAATCTTTTGTGCGCCAGATTCACAATATGCCAACAACATTGGGATTGAATTTTAATGCCAAAATTACGTCAACAATAACTCAGAGTAATTGAGTCATGCATGATACAATCAGACAATGTAGTTGATTTTCTCCTTTGAACGGGTAAGAATGGTAAGCAAAAATCAATCTGGTAGTACTACTACAAGGATATTCTAAGTGAGGATTTATTTTTTGAGTTTGTGGAATATATCGCACCTCAGTGGCGAGGCGTCAATATAACTCGATTCCCACAGGGTTGCCTGAAATTTTTCACGTATCATCAAATATCATAAACATTTTAAAGTAACTTACTACATTTTATGCTTAATTTCACTTGTAGAATAATTAACCAGTGAAATAAAGTGTACTAGTATATTGTGTGCCAATAAGTTCGTTAAGGCAAGTGTTTTTTGTTTTCCTCCGGCTTTACTAATGACAATTTTCACGCCTCGCTACTGGTACCTATGTACTGTTCGTCTTTATATAATATAAAGCCTGTATTATTAACTGTAATTTACTCAGGAAAGGAGACTTTGGTTGTTGTTCTGTTTTGCTGTCTTCATAGTCCTTAATTTCTTGAAATTGTTTGTTTTGCTCTTCTATGATCGTGTTCCAGTTTGCTTTTGTCTTCCTCTTGACAAGGACTGGGAAGTTCACCTCTGAGCAAGGAAGACTATCAGGCAAGACAAATGCTGCTAAATTTTCAGCAAGCTCATTGCTCGCTAATTTTGCATCTTTCGACTCCTTCTTGCGATCAGCTGATTTTGCTGGCATTTTTTAAGCTCGGGGTGTTTAGTAATTTATGTAAACTGGCTGTGCTTGTTTTTATCTTAGTTTGCTATCTAAGGATAATATTTTATCTTATTATTCTGAAGTATCGCGATGTTGTAAGGTGTACAATAATAAACAAATCACAGGTATTTATTTGACATAAAATGATCAGATTAATATTATTTTTCATTTGTGGCGGCCACTAGGTATGTGCCAGTGTTAGTTTTATAAGAATAATATATTTTTTTTTCAATCTTATGTCAGTAGTTATCTATTCTTTGGGGATGGAAAAAATAACTATTACTCACATAAGGGCTTAGAGGATGGAAAAAGGAAGGTTTCCATTAATCTAAGCAGAAAGGTGATTATTCGACAATTTAGTTATCAGCGCAATCTTTTTTGTCTAAACTAGTTAAATAATTTTTTACCTATTTTTGTGTGTAACCCATCAACCTACCAAAAGGTCAATCAATGTGTAGGTAATACAGTATTTTGAGATATAATATATTATAATATGTACCTACACCTCGCGTGGAACCTTAAATTAATAAAAGTGTGCTTAATTCAAAACGCTTTTATTACCAATTCTGCATAAGCAATTACACGTATTCTTTGGATATTACCATCCAAAGTATTTAAATAAAACTATTCATAAATAGGTATCTAATAAATAGGTATCTAGTTCCCTATCTAGTAATAAATATCGGAGATTCGTTCAGTCGTAACTTGTGACTTGACAACAAATTAAGTTGGTCTCGATGCAGAGAATACTAAATAACGATTAGTATGGGGAGAACTTTCCAGTGGTCTGGGAGATCCAGTCTAGATAATGAGCCACTTTCACATAAACGCCTGGCACGCCAGCTTGACCGCAGCCTATACCCCACGAAACTACGCCGACAAGTTGCCAGGTACCTCCGCGCTCGCATACCAGAGGGCCACCACCATCACCCTTGCAAGCGTCTTTGCCTTCTTCACCACCGGCGCACAAGAAACCAGGGTTTAACTCATAATTGTATCCCAATCTTGTCTGTCTTAGTTGCTGTTGGCATTGCCCATGTGCCAAAACGGGAACGTCGACTTCTTTCAAGATATTTTGGTACTTTCCGTAGTCACCGAAAGCATCTTTACCCCAGCCAGTAGTCCAGCATCTTTGTCCTGCGTAATCAGTGTATTTGTCAGGTAGACAAGCTGGGCTGATATGAGGATATTTGGTCCAGTCCACAGGATGATCAAGCTTTAAGATAGCGATATCATTGTCCAAAGTACCAGCATAGTAGAGAGGGTGTACATGTACTGATACGACATCTCTTTCAATATAGGGATAGAATTCAACGTCGTGATTAACATCCCATTCACCGAGTCGTACTCTTAGTTCAAATCCCTTGTACGACTTGATACAATGAGCTGCGGTCATGATGTGGAGACCATCAATGAGAGTTCCACCGCATGCGTAAACTGATTCTTTGGGATCTTTTTTCAGAATAGCAGCTTGCCAGGGGTATTCTCCGAATTCACTATCACCGTCCACGTAAGCAGGAGTCTTGATTCGGCCATTGATACCCTGAGAATGTCTTATGCCGCACTGGCCTATGTTTGCAGCTTGCGGACGCAGAGGACGGCGACAACATACTTGGTTCTGTTTGCATGTCTGAATCTGAGGTCTTCCAAAATACCCTTGACGCTGAAAGAGAAAAAATTGTATTAAAATCTAATGTACAAAACGTATTTCGAAACGGACTGGATTTTTATTTTAAGATTTAGTGAAGGGGTCTTATTACCTCCTCTATATTTTCTGTCACAGGCTTTTCTACAACTTCTCTCTTCTTTCTGTTCTCGGGAAATCGGATGGTTTGGCCACCCCGGTTTGTCCCAGGGTTTTTAGAAGGAATGGTGAGGGAACGGGAATAAGCGAACCGGTTAGCATAGCCCTGTCTTTCATTGGCTTTGTTGCTTGCATTAGCTGACCTTTCGAAACCAGTGTTGTAATAGCCTTGGAAGGGATTGTTGTAATCGCTATTGTCATCAAAGTGATTGCCATCATCATAGTAATCGTCATTATTGTACGTAGTTGATTCGTGAGCATTGTACGGATGTAACTTTGCGTAAGCTGGCTCGTAATGTGTGTGATGTGGGGAGTATACAGGTGGACCGTAGTGGGACGGATAATGCACAGGGTGGATAGGGTGGTGTATAGGATGAATTGGAGGGTGTATAGGCTTATGAAGGTGGTGGTGAAGGTGACCATATTGGTAAGGATTGTGATGGTGGTAGTGCTCGTGCTTATTAAATAAGTATTGTTTTTTCTCATGGAATAAATGGCCAAGTTTGTTAACTACGTGTTCATTAGGCGTCACATGAAGATTTACGAATGGTTTTACTACTTTTTCTCCGTAGTCATTTTTAGTCACTTGCACAGCTAGTAAGGGATTGACAGAAATAAGACCTAAATTAAGACCGCCTCCATTAAGTGCAGGGCCGTAAGGATTGTATATGGGATTTGCGTGAAAAGGATTGATGGGATAACCACTATAGGAAGGTTGGGGCAACCCAAAAGAGACACCGAACGTGGGCTGCACTTGTTTCATGCCGCCATTGCCGCCGTAGCTGGCCAATCCAATGAGGCGCTGCAGTGATATTCACTTATGTAATTAAATGATTCTTTAATATGGTGTTAGATTTACGTCAGTGCCCATTGTTTAGTTGCTCTTTTGTAAGCTGTTGCAAACGGAATGGACAAAGATGCTAATAGACAAGTCTTCATCCCATTTGCAACGGACAATATTACCCCAGTTCGATGTCAATGAATATGGATGGGATGTTTTGGGTTTATGTGAATTGAGTAATGTAAAAGGTTGTGAGAATGGTCTTATGAATGTTAAATATTGAAAATTGTTATAAACACATATTACGAGTTATGAGGATATAGTTCAATACTTACTGGTTCAATTTCCTTAGTGACTTCACCATCTTGTTCGTTTTTCGTTTCACGTTTGCTGATTTTCTTGATTTCTTCGGTGGAATTAACATTGACGTCTTTACTGGATTCAACAGACTCAGTTTTATTTAAATTGTCTAGTTGCTCATCTGAGAGTGCTGCGATATCACTACCTTTATTTCGAGGATCAATAGGCAGGTATAGATCGTCTCTGCGGCCTATGATTTCTTGACTAGGACACTGGTCGTAGTTTACACAAACGCATTCAAATCCTTGAGCCTTGGCTTCATGATAATTTTCTTGGTATGCGTTGTTTTGACTGAATTTAGCTGGGCCTTGATTGTACAAGTTATTAGAAGATCCTCCAACATGCAATTCCTTTTTGTAAAACTCGTTGTTTTGTGACGCGTACGCACCTAGAGAGTTTCCGTACTTTTGATCTTCAAAGCCATTGTTAGGGTATGGTTTTGGGAGAATTTGTTTGTTGACGTTATTATGGCCATATTGAGAGCCGTAGATTGTATCAGGGTTATCTAAATTATAAACTCCTGTCATAGGTTTGAAGCCGCCCGTAGTAAATCCACTGTAATCGCCACCTCCCGCGGTAATTATGTCAGCAGATTGTTGCGAGAGACTTTGTGCTCCTAGCTGTCCAACAGAACCCACAGGTATAGCCACAGGCTTGATGATCACTTTAGGCTCTTTATTACTGTCGTCACTGTGCACGTAGTGATGGTGCACGTGTTGCTGTATAATATCCTTGTTGTTACTGGGTGGTTGAGACGGAGGTACTTTGTTGTAACTTGGTCTATTATTTTCAAAGATGTAGGGGCTTTCACTGGCATAATTTGGTGGTCTAGTAACGTAATTGCCTTCGTTGCCCCCATATAATCCATTGCTTTGTGAGAATTGTACATTGCTAGAACCATATTTGTCAGAGAATCCAGGACGGAAACTGCCACCATTACTGATTCGTTTAGGTGGTATCTTTTGAGGACGAGGAGCGTATGGCATTGGTCTAGCGGGTCCATAAGCTCTTGGAGGTCCGCGGAGTGGAATCGACGCTACAGGTTTGCCGATTGGCTTAATGTCAACAGGCTGTGCGTAGATTAAATCGCTCGGTGACACGTATGCGCGCTTTTCTTCAACGTCTTCCTCTTCACACTGGAAAGTAGTTTTATGGATTTAATCCCTCGTAGTACTTAATATGAGAAATACAACAATTTATAAAAACCTTTTTTAAAACAAAACTTACTTGAATAAGCCCTAGAGTGCATAATCGTTCTTTAATTAAGCTCCTAGCTTCAGCATCATCACCAGCATCAAGGGCTTGTTTGATCGTTGGGTCGCTGTATACGTCTTCGTCAAAGCCTCCGAGACTTCTGCCCTGCTTCCTGCTGACGAGCTCATCAACTATGTCATCTAGTACAGTGCTATTGGATTCGCCACTTTTCCTCTGGGCTTCAGGCAACTCTTCACCTTGTAAAAGTTCAGTTGGTTTTTGTTCTTCGAATTTAGCATCCGTCTCGCTTTTTTCGTTACCCCAAGACCAATCAGCGTGGGAGTTTGTTATTCTTAAAGATATTATTAAAAAACTAATTGTGAACAACTGCATGGTCTGAAAATATAAAAAAAACATTGTTTTAAATGAGTTAAAACACAAATGGCACGATAAAATTAGGCGAGATCAGATCCTTGTTTAGCAAAGCATGTCGTTGTTTCGAAACCATGGTGGGCGGAGAATCACTTTTACTTTCGCGGACAGTTAAGAGTTATGTAAGCCTTCATAATGTCAGCGCTCCGCTGCGGCTGCGCCGGCGCAGGAGTGTGCTGCGAAAGCACTCTCACGTATTAAGTGGCTGTAGTATTACGTACAAAGTGGCAAAACACTGTTTACGTTTACTCAAGCTTTAAGTAAGAGTTATACTCATGAGAGTATAACTCTAATATAATAAAATAATGATATTTTATGGAAAATATGATAACATTTCTTTAAGATAACCAAAAGGATTGAGAAAGATCCTAAAGAGTTACGGAGAATCTTTGTTAATATTATATGGCGTGGTTCTTTGTGTTTATTGTGAAAGAAAGTGACTATTGGGGTCATTGTCACCCAAATGAGTCCAAGTGGTTGATTGGTAAGCGGTTCACGTTTTGGCTCATGCGTCATCCGTGTAACACTTTGTAATAGCGTTATGCAACTTCTTAAATGTTTCTGTATCTTGTTTACTGCTGCGTGTTACGTGTTTGGCTTATTACAGTGTTATGGACGCGGCTGAGGTTGTATTGAACTTTGAAACACGGTTTATCGTATACAATGATATACTTTACAATAAATTCTAAATCATGCTTTTTATACGAGTTGCTTAGGAAATGTCCAACCCTTTTTCTCAAAGTTATTTTTCCTAGGTGTCGTTTAACGCCTATGTTTTATATGTTACAGCTGCCCAAAATAAACTAAAATGATCAATTTTGAAAACAGAAAATAATTTGAAAAACAATTTGGTAGGATACTCTGCATAAATTATAACTATTTTTAACACACAAAACTCTTTTTTAGCCCACTAAGGGTGCTTCGTAATTAAACAAATAGATCGATTCTGAAATTACCTTAACTAAACAAAATAAATAAACATCCCCTGTTTATAGTTAGTATAGGTACACAACTATTTTCTTACTAATAAAAATAATTACTAAAAATCAACATTTCGATTTCGCTATTGTTACGTAACTTATAATGGCGTTACAGTAGATTGAAATCAAGATTTCCATTTAGCTTTACTGCGTGAATTTTAACAATGAAGAAACTGTGTGAAAAGTACCTATATTTCCTTTTACTTATGTGATGTTAGAATTATGTATAACTTTGAAAGCTGTAGATTATTTGTATTGCTCTAGATTGTTTTGCATAGGTATTTAAACGTTACGTTAATGCTGCTACCAATTCATTTTTAGATACTTCACCAGAGATTACAAATTAGTTGATTAGAAACAAAACGCTGATTGTATACTTTGTAAAATAGTACTATATAACATAATAAACTTTTAAATGTACTGTTTTAATAAAAAAGCATTCAATTATGAATTTTCCTGTGTAAAATGTTCTCTATTTTACTTGCGTATAACTGGAAATTTCTCCGATTGTGTGGGTACCATATTAACATATTGTCTCATTGTTATGTAATAACGTGGTTATGTTATTAGGTACACAATATACTTAGTACTGATCCTGTTTTCTTCAAGCGAGAGCATTTTGTTGCGTGCGTAGGGAGGAAGTGAAAGTGTAATGAGTATACCTACTTCTAATCCGTAAAATGCATTCACGAAGCAATTTTTTTATTTTATATAAGTACATACTTAATATATTTAAATTAACTTTTCAAAATAATGTTAAATTTTCCCTAGTTTTTATATTAAAAAAAAAATTTAGCAATATTAAAGTTGTGATTTGTAAATTAAAACTTATTTTTTTGAATACAATTTTAATGGACGGTTGATTTCAGAAAACATGTTTTATGTTTTTTATGACACACAATTACAAAATATATTAGATAAAAGATCGTAGTATTTAAATAAAAAATAACAATAGTAATCATAATAATCGACTACTACAATAAAGTCGTAATGAAGTTGTATCTTCAATTGACTGCGAAGTTAATGTGGAAATACTGTCAATTTTCATATCAGATTGCTCTTAAAAATGATTTACTTACTTTTTCTTGTGTATAATCCTTAGTTTACACTAATAGTTTAAGTCTTCACCACTTCACCGGCGCAACGTTTGCGTCCGAATGGCATCCACATAGACCACCACTACTCTTTATACTTCGTGCTGCGCAAAGATGCATGCGCTCTGATTTTGTAAGACATTCAATGCAGCCTCCTACCATGATACTCAGTGACTATCAAACCTGTACAAGCAATAATCATAAACAGAGTTTTGTTGCAAACGTTATAGCGATAATTTTGCGACAATTTGCTACAGTAACGTTTATTGGTGAAGGGTATGACGTCTGCAGGATCTCTTTGATTGATCAACCCTTGACTTCATTTATGTATTGTGGTTTCCAGTAGGTGTTAAGCAATAAAATGTAGAGGTCGTCTTTGCGGAAATTCCGTTAGTTTTTTTGAGTCACTTGCTTTTGCTTTTAGTAAATGAAATTTTTCTAATTTAATCTAAAACATAAACAACGAAATTCCGTTAATTTCAGATAAAATGCCAAACAACTGCACCTTATACGCGTGGGTACATGTCATACATATTGCATATATATATATATATATATATCAAACATCTAATTTGGCGTAGGTCGCAAATAAGTTTATTACACGAATATTTGCGACAGAGCGTTATCTAATCGGTGCGACAACCAACACTAAGTGTGTCGTGCCATAATAGTCCAATAAGCCGCTTTCTCGCCCATTAATCCCTGAAAGGACGATCGACCCATTGCTTAATTGAATCTTATGCCGTCTTGCACGAAATTAGCCAATCCGATTATTTCAGTCATCATAAATTATAATAAACACACAGTTGTTCCAATCCGTCTTGCTCTTACACCACTTTGAAAATGGCTTTGATTTACAACAAGAACTGGCTGAAATTCTGTGGTATTTCACTTAGATGATGGAAAAAATCTAAGGTATTTCATCGTTTTGGCTGTCAAAATGGCGTTACTGCATATGCATGTGTACCTACATACTACTACGTACATTACGAAAATATAATTTTTCCATGTTTTCAACCCTTCCTTTTACTCATATTTTAGTGTCTAATTCTCTAACAGATTATAAGTTCACCTATCCCCATTCTGGTGTAATATGACAGGAAAGACAGTAGGTACATTAGAAGGGTTACTTTTTAGTAGTTTCTTTTTAGTGTAACGCTGTGTTGTTTACGTTACCATCTCATTACTAGGCTTATTATTTTATCATTAAACAACAAGCGAAAAGTGTGAGTTTGGATTTCGGTATCTAAAACTAATGTTATATTGTTCACACTTTCCTAATGTTAAATGGACCATTTCCTCGTGCTTCTACTGGGTGCTCCTACTGGTAGGAGCACGAGGACTAATATGTCCTTATGCTCCTAGTAGGTACTACGTACGTAGGTACGTACCGATGATATTTTGTTTTATATTATTTAATTATAGATAAACGAGGGAAATCAGTCATTAGTTTTACTCTTAGCTTATATACTATATAAAACGCCTTATGTAACTTAATAAATAAAAAGTTTTATTGAAAATTCAAGAGTTATTTTTACTACATCGAAATTCTAAATATGACTTTCCAAAAAAAGCTTCATTATCGCTCAAAAGTTTTTTACGTATTTTTTTCGAAAAGTCGTAGAATAATAATTGTTTATTGTACAGGTCGGAATATCCTGTTGAGAACTAATAAAAAAACTATAGGTGTAGCATTTTTGAACAGTAGTGTACGTTGGATTTTATTTTGCTTATGTTTATTTGTATTGTGTTTGGAACTATGTATTAAATATGACGTATTCGCTGATCTCTTAAAAATGCTTGATTTGTTATCATTTGTACCCCTCACATACAACATTGCTTTCTTAAGTTCGATGCACTCTCAAGTAACCATTGACTCTTAGAGCTTCCGTCTCGGTAGTGATAAACAAAATTACTTTTTCGTCTTGCAGTTTATTAATAGACTTCAGAAAAAGAAGAATATATATTACGCGTAGAGAAAGGCTTTTTACAATATAAGATTTGTAATTTATATAAATAGACTGGGATGCCTTTGTAGATTGTGACTATTGTTGTAATTTCTGTAGTTAAGTTTCAAGGAACTTTTTTTAACTTTTTTAAAACTTATATGCGTATTTGTCCTCCAGCTCACGTGATAGAAAGTGATGATAAGTTCGACGATGGACCATGCACACCTAAATATTATAATGCCTATTCACTCTCCTCTTGAAAAGGCCCAAGTTATAACGTTCAGGAACAAGTCTACAGGCAGGAAATTCCACTCCATAGCCGTTCCCCATACAAATGTGGAAGCGATACGCTTCGTGCGAATCCTTGGAATATCCTCAACATAGAGGTGGAACACGTGAAACCGTGGTAGCCTAATGGTTTGACCTACTGCCTCTCAAGCAAAAGGTCGTAGGTTCGAATCCGGGCTCGCACCTCTGAGTTTCTCGGAATTTATGTGCGAAATTTAATTTGAAATTGATCATGAGCTTTTCGGTCAAGGAAAACATCGTGATGAAACGTCTGAAAGGAGACCCGTGCCCAACAGTGGGATATGTGAATGGGTTGATGATGAAGAGGTGGAACCCCAACCTACACCTAGTATGTATGATATATCACCTGATGTATCCTGTAGAATAACAATTTTATTTGAAGCTTTTTTAAATTTTGTTTCCATTTTTTGTTAGTTGATCTTATATTATTTAGTTTAATAACAAACAATCTTGTAGCAAATTTAAAGTTTATCTTATATTTAAGTTATAATAAGAAATCATGTGTATGATTAGAACTGGTGAAGTTATGAGATATTTACTATTTTTGTAGGTGAATGCTTCTACATAATACGTGTTACAACAACAGTAAATTCATTCAATCAGAGATTGTAGAGCAGGACCGGTGTAAGAAATATGGAGGCCAATATCTCTCAGAATCACACAGATTTTGATAAATATTTTGCTTGTATATTTTCTTAGCGTATTTTAAGATAATACTATCGAGTCATGGCTTGCTTGATACGTGCATATCTCTATCATTTTAGTTTTTT